ACCATTTTAATATATGGAAAAAGATGAAATTTATCATTTTAATATAGTGATAAGGACTAAGGTTAACATAGTTTTGATTTTGTATACATTTTAGTTATTTATGTTTTTTGCACATACATAACAATTATGGGATATCTCCAGAAAAGTCCCAATATTTTGGACAAATTTTTAATAAAGTCCTAAATTTTATTTTTTGAATAAAAAAATCCTGACTTTTTCACCTTTTGAATAAAAAAACCCAAGAAACCGGCTAATTTTTTCACTTTAGCCCTTTTTGACCTGTTCAGCAGGTCATGAGACCAAATTGTTAATTTTTTTAAAATAATGTGACTTTTTTGCAGATTTCGTCAAAATTTGTATATAATGTATAAACCTATTTTTTACATATCTCTATCTATTTTTACGTATTTGTGTATTTTTTATGTTTTTATATGCATATATTTACATATTTTATGTATTTTAAATGTATAAACGTATTTTTTTACTTATTTATATGTACTTTTAACCATTTTACATATTTTTTATATATTTTTATGTGTTATTTTTTATGTATTATGTATTTATATGTATTTTTATATATTTTTACGTATTTGTGTATTTTTTAAAAGCTTTTTATATAGATGTTTATGTATTTTAAGTGTATAAACGTATTTTTTACGTATTTATATCTATTTTTAAGTATTTTACATATTTTTTATGTATTACGTATTTATGTATATTTTTTAAAGTTTTTTATATAGATGTTTTTGTATATTTATGTATTTTAAATGTATAAACGTATTTATATGTATTTTTTAAGTATTTACATATTTTTGTGTGTTTTTATGTGTTTTTTACGTATTATGTATTTATATATTTTTTTGCGTATTTATGTAATTTTTTAGTTTTCTTATATAGATGTATTTTTATGTATATTAAATGTTTAATCATGTAAAAATAATACAATTAAACATTTAATTTACATAAAAATACATAAACATCTATATAAGAAAACTAAAAAAATACATAATTACGCAAAAATACATATAAATACATAATATATAAAAAAAACATAAAAACACACAAAAAATATGTACGATGCTTAAAAACATACATATAAATACGTAAAACAATACGTCTATACATTTAAAATACATAAATATACAAAAACATCTATATAAAACACTTAAAAAAATACATAAATACGTAATACATAAGAAATATGTAAAATACTTAAAAATAGATATAAATACGTAAAAATACGTTTATACATTTAAAATATATAAACATCTATATAAAAAGCTTTAAAAAAATACATAAATACGTAAAAATGCATAGAATTACATATAAATACATAATACATAAAAAATAACACATAAAAATACATAAAAAAATATGTAAAATGGTTAAAAATACATATAAATAAGTAAAAAAAATACATTTATACATTTAAAATATATATAAAAATACGTAAATATCTACATATAAAAACATAAAAAATACACAAATATGTAAAAATAAATATAGATATGTAAAAAATATGTTTATATATTATATAAAAATTTTGACGAAATCTGCAAAAAAATCTCATTATTTTCGAAAAATTAACAATTTGTTTCCATGACCTGCTGAACAGGTCAAAAAGGGCTAAAGTGAATAAATTAGCCGGTTTCTTGGGATTTTTTATTCAAAAGGTGAAAAAGTCATGATTTTTTTATTAAAAAAATAATATTTAGGACTTTATTAAAAATTTCCCCAAAATATTGAGACTTTTCTAGAGATATCCGGGGGCGGAACTATATGGTTGGCGGGGTAGCACGTGCTACCTTTCAAAAATCATGAATCCTTTACAATTTTTTTCTAAAAGTTTAGTTTAAGGTTCTATTTACGGAACTTGTGGTGCTTCTATTTACGGAACTTGTGGTGCTTCTATTTAGCATGATTTTAACGTCCAAAGAGGCTAAAAGCCCATTGACGTCCATCAAATATTTTCATTTTAAAGTCCAAAGAGGCTAAAACCCCATTGGGCATTGAGGTCCATCAAATGTTTTCATTTTAAAGTCCACAGAGGCTAAAAGCCCATTGAAGTCCATCAAACGTTTTTATGAAATATGTGGGTCCAGTCAAATGCAACATTGAGTAAGCATAGCCCTATTTGTTTATTTGAAGGAGTGATTATATATAATAAGTTACAAACCCCCACTTGTTAGAATTTGTTTATATGAAGGAGTGATTACATATTATAAGTTACAAACCCCACTTATTAGAATTATAAGAAATATAAATACATATCCATTGAAGTTTCTAGTGTGTTTGGCATTGGAATTATAAGGAAATTCGATTAAGTGTCATGGTTTGTATCAAGTGAAATAAATCTTTTTATTTAAGTTTAAAATATTTTATAGGTAATATTTAATTGTGTATACATCGTGTATAAATCATTATATGTTGTGTTTATCGAGTTTTATTTCTGTGTCGTATCGTGTTAATTTTCGTCTCAAAATTTGAACATGACAAAATATGACATTGGTTTTTTTATACAAGACAACACAAACATGAATTTAAATTTCCATTTCATTTCAATATTGTTTTGTTTATTGTATTTTCGTGCTGTCGTGTCAACTTTAGCTACGTCTAAACTCATATAGAATGAAATCGTAATTTTTAATTCTTGTTATTATATTATATATTACTCTAAAAAAAATGTGTGCTACCCCTGCGGAAAATTTCTGTTTCCGCCCCTGGAGATATCCCTAACAATTATTGTTAACTTGTTTGGATTGTTCACAAAATACCATTTTGACCAATTGATGTATTTTTTCCGACCAACGATATTTTGTTTTTGTATATATTTAGCCACTTACATTTTGTTTTTATACATATTTAATCATTTATATATATATATAATATATATATATATATATATATATATATATATTTATATATTTAATCACTTATATTTTGATTTTGTACATATTTAAGAACCCGTCATATGTTTTGATTTTTCCAAAAGTTGAAAGAACAAGTTCATATGCTCATCTAATAAGAGGTCTACAAAACAAAATATATGTGAGTAAACTTGTACAAAACAAAACATAAGTAACAATAAAGCAAAAAAAAAGAAAAAACAAAACATATACATAAACCAATCGTGATAGCTTCCTTTCTAATAAATAAATAACTTCAATATCATGCTGCCATGTGTCCAATTATTCAAATGCCACGTGTCCACCTCTCAAACATCCTACATTCTATTCTATTCTACGTCAATATTGCCTGAGAATTTTTTTCATAAAAACAAAAGTTCCTACAAATCAGTAAGTCACTTTTAATTAATGCTCTAAATTAGCGGCATTTAAATTTAAAATATACAGTATACAAAAGACTAAAGATATAATATCCCTAAAAAACAGCAATTCATATTCCAATTTCCCCCTCTTAAACCTCTTTAATTCCATGATTCACTGCACAAATACCTCCTACATTCTATGTCAAATACGTCAAGATTTACCTGCGATATAATTTCATAAAAAAAAACACGTCCTACAAATCAGTAAATCACTTCTAATGCTCTAAATTATCTGCATTTAAATTTTAAATATACAGAATACAAAAGACTACATATATAATATCCCTAAAAACAGCAATTGATATTCCAATTTCCCCCTCTTAAACCTCTTTAATTCCATGATTCATTGCCACAAATACGTCAATTTAAAACATTCAGTTTATGTTTTCCTTTTATACATTAAAAATTATAAAGATATAGATACTATAGAGATTATAGAGATATAGAGATATTATAGAGATATCGAGATATGATATCCCTGAAAATCAGCTACTCAAATTACAATTACCTTGGCATTATACCTATAAATACGTATAATGATCGATCCATAAAATTGTTTTCTTCACTTCTCTCTTCAAAGCTTTCAGAGTATAATTCATCCGCATCTCTGCATCTACATTCATACATTTCAATCAATCAGGTTGGTATACAAAACTATTCACTTCCATCGTCCTTTTTTTTCTGAAACGATAATCATAGAGGTCAATCTGACACAAATTTTTTTTTTTAAAAAAAACATTCATGACATATGGTTGGGTACATAAAAAACTTTATATGTACATTACTGTCATCTGTATAAATATTTTGTAGTATATTGCTGTTTTTTAAGCTTTTATACAAATGGTTAACTTCAAGTAATATACATTAAAGGGCAACATACTTTGAAAGTATCCTGCCATTTTATGTATATTACATGTTGTTTATACCTTTTAAACACCTATTCAAATAATAAAAACTTTAAACTACATTGCTATTTCTCACTAAATTCTTCACTTCCACCCTCATTTTTTTTCTGAATTGATAATCATAGAGGTCAAATTATGTCATTACTTTTTTTTAATATTCATGTCATCTAAATAAAAACAGAAATATATAATAATAATAACACATTTTATGTATATTACATGTTTTATTTAGGACTTTGATAATTTTACCCTTTATGTCATTGTAAACCATAATACTTACTCACCATTAAGTTTCATTTCATGAATTTTTAATTTTAAAAAAACAGGGAATATTTTTTTTCACTTTTATTTTTGTCATGTATTTATAATATCACCCTATTTTACAGATTCATAGCTGCTGGTGATGTTACTCTTATACGTGATCTTGATGTCTTGAAGGACATGTTCACTATGAAGCTTCGTATTATCAGATTATGGACATTGAAAGATTACTATAACAAAGACGAAATTTTTTCCATTCAACTTAATCTAATGGACGAACAAGTACACTATATATATGGTTTTAATTATTTACATGTTTATATTTATATTTATCTTTTTAACTTTTTAATTTGATAACCAAACTTGAATATTGATGTTAATATACATCATAATTTAGGGTAACAAGATCCAATGTTATGTCCCCAATGCTTACATTTACAAGTTTAGAAAAGTTCTAAAAGAAGGGGAAACTTTTTTTTTTTATCAAAAATCCAAATTTGGCAAAGATGGATGAAGGAAAATTTCAACTAACTCATCAAATGCAAAAGCTCACCTTCAATCGCGAGACTACTGTCACTCCATGTCTCGATTTTTCTGGATCAGTTAATGGGTTTGCTTTTATTGACTATCATCCCATTATCGTGGGCACTGTTCCACAAAATATTTCATTGGGTTAGTATTATTTGTTTACCTAAGAATTTATATATTTTAAATAACTTATTTTTTTCTACCCTTCAAATAAAAACTAATTTCATCTGTTTGTTTGTATTTATGCTGATATATAGATGTTATCGGTTCGGTGATCGCAATTGGTGAAATTGATGCTCGAAATAAAGACAGAAAGAGGCATAAGATGAGACTACAGAGCCAAGATGTCAAGTTTGTTTTTATTATCTATAAATTAATTATTGTGTATATTAACTATTTTGATTGCAATATCAAAAAAAAAATTATTATTTGTAATTTTGTAATTTGTAATTCCCATCTTTTTTGTTAGTGGTTCTCAATTGGATGTTAACCTATGGGGAGATTATTGTTACACGTTGTCGGATTACATCCAAAAGAATCCAAACATTCTCCGCATCGTCATAATCCCTCAATTTGCAAAAATTAATGTCCGGCAATGTATAATGTTTTTTTTAATTATGTTTTATATTGCAATGATTATTTAATTGTTTTTTTTGTTTTTTATAGGTCGGCGATATGTTAATACATATTATGATATATCAAAGTTCATCATCAATAGTGACATTGATGAGATAAAAGTTTTCAAAAAAAGGTATATTACATTATGTTATTTTTTTGTTAATAATAAATGGCAATGTATGTTATAAATGATGTAACTATGTGGTTAATTAACAGTTTGAATCAAGATGGTCCCCATGAAAACTCATCCAATACTTTCTCCTATATGAAATCTAATCGAAGTTCTGAAAAGGATGATTTTGTGCTTAATCATGACCTGAAAACAATCGCTGATATTTTCGAACCGATTGAGGTAAGAAATTTCTGAAATTTCTATCAATCTTTCTAATTTCTGTTTTTTCAGAAATAATTTATGTAATTAACACATTTCGTTATTTAATATTCAATACTTATAATATTATTGTCTTTTTTAAATCAGATAAAAAAAGTATGTTATTGTTGCGACCATAAAAGGAATTCTTCAGCACACACCTTGGCATTACCCGGCATGTACAAATTGCAATACAAAGGCGGTTCCAAAAAATTCTTCCGATGAACCCAGTGTCACCGGATCATTCAAACATGCAACATATGAATGTCGAAATCCAAAATGCACAAAAACTGAAACATTGACAGTTCCGAGGTTAATACATTTTGAAAAACTCAATTTTCATATAATCGTAATTTCCAAATTATGTTGACTAATTTTGAGAATTTTACAATTCTTAAAAGGTTCATGATTCCGGTAAGAGTTCAAGATCATACTGGAAGTATGACTTTAACGATGTTTGAACAAGATGCGAAAAAGCTTCTAAAAATTTCGGCAAAAGATTTAGTTGCAAAAACAGCTAAGGTGAATGTTTTTCTTATTATTATTTAAAAACAAATTATTGTTATTATATATAATTAAATCTTTTTATGTTTTTACTTGCAGCTTGGTTTTTGTACTAACGTATACCCGTCCGATATTAATGTATTGAAAGATATGAAATTGGCTTTCATAGTTTCTGTTTCAAAATACAATGTGCAAAGGAGCACCAATCAATATACTATTTCCAGGATTAGTGATGATGAGATTTTGATTGAGGAGTTGGAAAAAAAGTTTGTCGTTGCAGAGGTTATTATAATTGATTTTTTTTCCAAAATATAATATACTTAAAAAAGGCTTATTAATTTTTCATTTGTGTTTTGAACAGGGAGGTAATTCACAATCGTTTGAACATGGTACCACTGATTGTGAATCTCAAGATAACATATTTATAAAGGTGTACTCTAAGTTATCTAAATATCTCATGTTAGTATTATCTTTAACTTTAATAACCTCTAATAATACTATTTTTCTTTTATAATTTTAGGATGTCATATCTCATACTGATGATAATGTAACACCAATGAATGTTTTCTAATCGACAGCCACAAGCCCAAATCCATTTCTCATTTATTCAAATACATGAGGGTAAAATACGATATTACCTTTTTTTCAAATACTTTTAAACTACTCATTATATTTTATATTTGTTTTATAATATTTTTTATAATTGTAACATTATACATTAACGTACCATTTGTATTTTAAATACTAATTAAATTTATTTTCATATACAGATGATAGAATATACCATGAATTCCACTTCAGCTAAAGAACGACGAAAATTAAGGAAACTATATTTGGATAATAGAAGATTTAAAAAAATACACGATCATACTTTATCTACCTCGCCACCTTTTAACAGTACCAGAACGGTAATTCTTTAGTATGTTAATTTTTTTTGTATAATTACTATGTTATTTGTTAAATAATATAAAAAATTAAAATCTATATAATTAATTAATATTAATGATTTTAATTTTACGTAACTATATAAAATAGTTATTCATTAATGATTTAATTATATTATTTGATTAATAATTACAACATTTTAGTATGAAAATGTAATTAATTTTGCAACCGTGGTTCCCACGGGTTATAAACTGGTTTTGTAATCGATACAAACAAATTCAATATTCATATACAAAAACAAAATATTACCCTAAACTCATTATCCTTTTTAATATATTATCTATATTATCGCCAAAGAAATAAATTTCCAATTCAACACACAAAAGAAAGGTAAACCGATCATTCGTACAATTTTGAGAACCAAAAACAACATAAAACCAACACCGGAATCGCCATTAACACTCGAGGTCACCAGGAATGCTTAATGCTTCCCAAAGTGGTCGCTGTTGTAACTCTTTGGACCCGACATGAACTGATAGCCACCCTGTTGACCGCCGGAACTGTTAATGTATGGTCGCATGTCGCTGTTCGTCGGAATTTTACCTTCCTGATCATATGGATACGTACCTACAGTGCCGGAATCGTGTTTGTGAGCAGCCGCGAGATCTCCAACTGTTTTCGGCTTCTCGCTGTCGTAAATATCACCAACAACAGACCCACGGTTGGCGTTTCCGGCGTCAGCCGATGGAACTGTGTATGACTGCCCACGGCCTGGAGCCACGTCTTTGATGGATGGCAGTCGTTTCATAACAGAATCGCCATCTTTACCCCACGTATGAGGTTGATCTTGGGTAAATGAATCCGGCCGGCCTGAATTAAAATCGGAGAACGACTGGGGGCCCTTATCGGCGGCGTTGTATGAGTCGTTGACCGGCGAGTGAGAAGTAGTCTCGGCGCGTGGGCCCGTGAATGAGGGGGGTGAAGATCCGTCCATGGAATCAGAACGCAAGAAAGAAATTTTGTGAAGAAGAGGTGAAGATGAGAGGGAAGATTGGACAAGGTCGTACTTATAGACTCAATACGTGTGTAATGGTCTTCACAAAAAGCAAAAACGCTGAATTAACGAAAGAAGTAGATAGGCATTTTCGTTAATTAGTTTGCAAAATATAGTTAAAAATTAATTGACAAAATTGCAAGTTTGGTCCCTGTGGTTTATCAAAAATTGGATGTTTGGTCCAAAAAAGTTTTGGGGTTGCACCGGTGGTCCAAAAGGTTTGATTTGTTGTGGAATTGGTCCAAAGGCTTAACAGCCGTTTGTGCCCTCCGTTTGTGTGAGAGTATTTCTGTCAATTCACACCCCTTCTTTTAATATCTTCTTAAATTAAACCCCCTAACGTCTACTCCCTTATTAATAGATCCAACGTGTGTTCCCCCTTTTCCCTAAATCGATATCTCCTCCTGCTAAAATCGAAATCGTCTCTCCTACATTCAAAATCAACAATGGTGAAATCGAAATCGTCTCTCCTACACTCAAAATCAACAATGGTGAGATGTTTCTGTGGTCAAATGGCGCTAATGCGAACGGCTTGGACTGATAAGAACCCTGGGCGACGTTTTTGGGGATGCCCTAAAGAGGTTAGTATTCATGTGGTTGGTTATGAAGATTTTTCACCGATCACTCAATTTCTTCTTATATTTTGCTAGGATTCGACATGTGGGTTTGTGGGATGGATCGACCCTCAAATGTGTGAACGATCAAAATCAATAATTCCCGGGTTGCTGAGATCAATCAACAAGCTAAAGACTGAAGTTGGAAATTTAAAGGAAGAAAAAATCAAATGTTCAAGTATGATATTGGAAAAATAAAGGAAGAAAAATCAAAACTAAAGTTGTACTTGATATGTAGCTGGGTTTTTTTGGGTTTGTCTTTTTTCTGATGAAGTAGTCTGTCCATGTATTAGGGGTATATTTTGTGGTAGATTTGGAAGATTGCAATGTTTGTGAATGTACTCTTTTGGACATGCAAGTGAATGTAGTGTTTTGGTTAGTGGGTAATGAAGTAATTTGTTGCAAACATCCAAATATTTAGCTTCAACTAGACATAGCAGTGATGAGACACACTGTTAATGCTTAACATAACCAATAGTAACATAAATATGCAAAAAAGTAAAGGACAATCATGCATAAACAAAAGAACATCAAAAATAAATAACCATTGTTTGCACATACATAATTCTTGTTACATGACCAAAAAAACATCATTCTAGACGGAGGGTAAAGTTGTCCAAATTATCAAACAACATAAAACAGACACCCAAAAAATAACATCACAATGGTTCCCAAAAGTAACAACACATTACACATTCTTAATCCAACAAGTCAACACATCAATTTCCTCCTTGCCCCTTACAGGTTCTTGCATTATGTCCCTTGTTTTTACACTTGCTACAAGTGACAGTAATGAACTTCCTTGTGAGTTTTCCACTGCCTTCTGGACCATGACCATCTATACCACTAGCACCAGCTGTTTGACTTTGACTTTGATTTTCACTCTGATTCTGAGCTTGACTTTGAGATTTTTCCTCCATGGATCTTTGCCTCTTCTTCTTGGGCCTACTAGGTTGGTTACGATGTGGAGGAGGGCTGATCTTCATGGGACAATCACTAACAGGCCACATGATACGACCTTTGATTGGTTCTACCTTGTAGGAATAAGCTTCTTTCCAGGTTTCAAGCCAATGCACCTTGTGTACATAAGTGTAAAGTTCACCCACATCCTCACCATTTTTCAGCTTTATCAAATAGGACTGCAATCACATGCCTACAAGGAATTCCTGTTAATTCCCATTTCCTACAGCTGTATACCCTTTGGCCCATGTCAACAACATGTTGATCTTGCCATGGTCCTTGTACTTCATACTTGTCTGAGGAATTCCACCTGCCTATGTAGTTAGAAGCATTTGTTGTGTTTGTTTCCATGATCTTTGTTGCTGTTGGAGTCAATGGACCTACACACTTCTGTTGAACCTTGATCACATTGCAAATCCTCTTCATCATGTACTCCCGAATGTACTCTAAGCATGTGATTATTGGTTTATCCCTCACTTCTACCAGTTTACTGTTAAAAAGGTTATTCAAAAGCATGTCTGTGATTGGTCTACCTGCAAGACAATTGTAACTTAGAACAACATACACCAAATATATGTAATTTATCATTGAATTGAAAGTTGTCTACCTGTGAAATGGCTTCTAGCCCAGTGTTGTGGTGGGATCTTCTTCACCCATTCATAAGCTTCTTTGTCATATTCACTGAACTCCTTCATCAAACGGTTGAATTCTTGCACTGTTGTTGCTTTGGCACAGTTCCACAACCTATCTTTGTACTCAGTAGTTCTCCATCTCTTCCTCATGTTTTCATAGATATTTCTGAGACAGAATATGTGTTCAGCAACTGGGAACAACTGTGCAGTGGCTGGAATTAAGCCATACGAAGTCATTAAATTGTGGTTAGTATAATACAAGTGCAATAAGAAAACTAAAATACATCAAGTAAATCTATTACCTTTTGTCTATCACTTATGAAAGTGAAGTTTGAAAGTTGTGACAGGCCAAGATCATCTCCCACGTACTCTAGAAACCATTTCCAACTTTGTGTGTTCTCAGACTCAACAATGGCGTATGCCAATGGGTATATACCATTGTTAGAATCTAAGCCAACTGCAGTCAAGATCTGCCCCGGGAAAGCTCCTTTCATAAACGCCCCATCCAAACCAATAAAATTCCTTAAGCATGCTTTGAACCCCTTTTTCATTCCACCTAAGCAAATATAAATCCTCTGAAAACATCTTGAAGTTGCATGTACAAGATTTGGTTGTTGAACCAGTTCCAGTTTCACAGTTGTGTCAGGATTTGTGGACTGCAACTCTAGTATGTAATCTCTCAGCACATCATATTGTTTTGTGTAATCTCCCATCACATGTTTTTTGGCATCTGCTATAGCCCTGAATATCTTATCTTTGGAGAAGCTCACATGATATCTTTTCTGGAGTAGTTCTTGTACAACTTTGATTGGCACAGTTGGGTTAGATTCCACTAGATCCATAATATGTTTAGACATGAACTTTGATGTGGCCGTTCTTACCTTTCTTGTATTGAGGCATGAATGTTCAGGTTGGTACATTTTCACACACCAACTTTCTTCCTCGCTTTTCCTAGATGCTTGTAAAACCCAATGACAAGACAGTTCAATACTTGTCTTTTTTACTTTTACCTTTAATTTTCTTCCTAGTGGTAGGTCCATCCACTTGCCCCTCATTAAATAATACTTTTCCTTTGCATGTGGCCCGCAACCTAAGTTTATCATTTTTCTTAATAAAAAGATTCTTCCTAGTTTCCAAGGCATGATGGGAAATCTTGTCTTTCAGCTCTTTTTTACTTTTGTATTTTTGTCCTATACGAAATGTTGGTGTATGAACTTCTCCTAAAGAACACCTTTTTTCCTTACCTAATTCTTTTATAACTTGTCTTCTCTTCTTGCCCATCTCAAAATCATCATCTGTTGAATCCCATTCATTATTGTCAATTACATCCAACTCCATATCTTCATGCTCCTGATTTCTATCTTTCTTCATGTTATCCCTTACTCTTTTCTCAAAAAACTCTGCTTCAGTGTCAATGCTCATGTGGAAATCCCTCATATCCACTTCAACTTCAGGAATGATATTCTCATCATCCACCCAATCACTGTCCTCGCTGTCATCTTCCTCATCATAGTGACTACCCTCTCCCCTATCGGATATGCTCCCATTATCATGCTCATCTTCTATGTTACCTTCCATTTCAGTCTCCATGTAATCATCCATGTAATTATCCATGTAATTATCCAAGTGATCTTCCATGGCAGCCTCATGTTCATGTTCCAGTTCCACTTCATCTTGTGCATTTTCTTCTACTTCTACTTGTGCATGTTCTTCCACTTCATCTTCAACATGTTCTTCCACTTCTACTTGTACATGTTGACCAACATCTGCATTTGATTGTAATATCTTTTGATACAAACCAATATCAAATTTTGTAGCTGCCTCAATAAAGTCATTGGCAATAAGCTCTTTTTGTCTATCATGAACCTCAACATGTAATGGTTGTACCTCAACACGGGATGATGTAGGTGGGATTGGTAAATCTTGTACCTCAGCTGTGGGGTTTTCATTATCATCATTTTCATCTATTTCATCCATTTGTACAATAGTTACCTTCCTAACAGGTTTAGGATTCATAAAGTAGGTAAGTAACTTTGTCTCACCATGTTCAGTATATACCCTCATGATTTTGTGATCACGCACATATTGGGCAAAAGTTTGTAAATCATCATCATTGCCTAAGGGTTTAAGACCAAAGTGGAAGTATCCACCAGGCATAAGGAAGTGATAGTAAATCACAGGAGGAGCACCGTACCTGAACCCTTTCATGATAGCATCCATCTCATGAACTGAAAACTTGTCTATATCCACCATGTCAACATAGTTCACACTTCCGTCAATATACTGAACATTAGGAAACTTGGTGAACTCACCTCCATGGTATAGCTTGATGGTAAATAATGTTGGGTGGCCATCTTCAAACCAACAACAAAAATAAGTTCAGAAGCATGATTTCACATACAAAAGATGTAATGTACAGAGAAATTACAAAATCCTTACCATAAGCCACCTTTGCGTTGAACGGTTTGTCTAAGAGCCTTATATTCCACATTGGTATGTTCATACACTGAAATAACAGCGATAAAAAAACTTCACTTTGAGATTAGGGCTTTTGGGTAACGAACGAAGACGAAGGTGATATGATAGTCAATCGACCAACTGCACAGGGGATTTGGCGGTAGGTATCAATTAATTAGGAGGATGGGGTTTAATTTAAGAAGATATTAAAAGAAGGGGTGTGAATTGACAGAAATACCCTCACACAAACGGAGGGCACAAACGGCTGTTAAGTCTT